CCCCAGTAGCCAGGGCTTGTACGGGAAATCGTGTGCTGCCCCGCACAGAGAGATACACACGCGTATACCGATTCGGCTGGCTCGGTATTGATATTTCGAGATAAACGTTCTCGACTATTCCCGATTAATTGAATAAATAGTGGCCCGTAACGGAAGTGCGCACGGCAGGTCGAAAAAAACCGCTTCTACGGTGGCATTTCTCGGCAGCTCAAAATGGCGAACTTGTCCAACTGGTCCAACTCTTTCATTTTTTGCTTCCTTCTTCCCTTTCTTTCCCTTATCCTCCGCCGCTCATTCAACATCGGTTCCTTATTCGTCGAAAGAAATCGCGGCGCGATGACTTTCCGTCGCGCGAAATTCTCTCTCACGCTATTTATACGCGATTAAATCTCGCTTGGTGGACGCGATCGCCGCGGACCGGGAAGCGGTGCCTAAATATTTCCCACTTAATTGACGTTGATTTAACGGTCTCTTCGTATTAATTTTAGATGGAACTGTCAGTAGAAAATGGGTAAAAGTTACGAGGAAGGCACGGAGCGTAATTTCATGCTCTTAGCAAATTCTGGCGACTACGCATTTTGCGAAATGTCGACACATTTATGAGGGTGAACAGCATCCAGCGGCAAAAGCGTGCGTGCAGAACCGCGTGTCTATAAATATACGGCGAAATGCAGCAAACGGTCGGCTTTAATTGGAAGGTTTCGAACGCACGCAATGTTTGTTACGATAGGTTTCGTTCAGGAATGCAATTAAAATGGTGATCTCATCGAATCGTTAAAAAGAAGGTGTTTCACGACACGAAGAAAGCCACCGCGCGCGCGTAATCGATCGAAGAATCATCCATCGCACTTGGAACGGGTCAACTGGTTGTTTCGATGTTTCAATGTCCGAAATATTAAACGCACGAAGGTAATGTGTTGTGAAAATTATTGGTCCGATTTGGTTGCGTGATTCCGCATAACAAATACAGAATGCAAATTGAGATACCGTAGTTATAATAAAAAAAAAAAATTATATATATGTGTGTGTGTGTGTGTGTGTGTGTGTATAAAATCACGTGAAAAATCAAGGAAACCGATTGAAATGAACAGAGAGGAAGAGCAAAGGTGGCCACGAGCGTGCTCGAACTCGAAGAATTTTAGACTTCAGCCACGATGTTTGAAACCACATTTGGTGTTCGAGGTGTACAGCACGCAGAGAGCAAGTGCATGTAGAAATCCTGGCTGGAGGGAGGAAGAGAAATAGGGGTCATTGGCGTCGAAGGTGTAGGATCAAGATAGCCGATATCGACACCGTTCGATGCCAAACGTTCGGGGCCATCTACCAAGAATAAACGTATTCGAGAGCTCGTTCGGGAATACAATAAAACGAGCCGAACGGGACGGAAGAACGGGAGGAAAAAAATATCGTCCGTGAACGCGAGCTCGCCGGTGTGATTTAGAGACAATATGTTTCGTGGCGACGAGGCGAGAATCATGATATAAATCCGACACCGAAAAATTCGCCCCGCCGTTACTGATCGCGGCCAAGATCGTATAGAACGTGGAAAGTGAGGAGCGAACGTGTTCAGAGTTACAGAGAGAGGAGAGGACGTAACACGCGGCGAGAGAGTGCAGAGAGACAGAAATTGAGGGGCACACACACCCGCTCCCTGCGGCCGTCGTCAATCAGAATTCCGCGAATTAGCGTTAACGGGCCGTTATTGCCGCGTCCATTTGGCTAGTGTACAGTTTGGGTCGTGGATATGAGCCCATAGATTCCCCATATTCTACGCCGTATGGGGCGATGGTGCTGCCGCGCATAGCCCACCGGAATCCGGTTAGTTACTACCGCATGTTATGGACCGCCGCGCGCTATTCCCTCTCTCGCTCTGCCAACCCCCTTCGCAATCGCGATTCTCTCTGCTGGCTTCTCTCTCTCCTTCCCCTCCCCCCGTCTCTCTTTCTCGCTCTCCGTATATCCGTGGAAAGCTCCACCCTGCCGACGGGCACAATGCGAATGGCCGCGGCCTCTCTGCCACCGGCTTTATGCATCTATCGATACCTATTTACCCATTCGCGCAGGAGCAATGCTTCCTATTTCCGTGGATAAATGTGCGCCCCGCTAGGATCTATACCGGTGCGTGCCAATAAGCCACTCTGTTGAAACTCTTTCTCGAATCGACGGGGACGCAATTTCGTGGAAAGTACACACCCGCGGACAATCATACGAATCGTCAAAGATTTTTAACCACTGTGTCTACGTACGTTAATTACGCTTATGTATGTATAAGTGATACTTGCACGCGCGGTTTGGCAAGCATCGTTTGAAGATTACGTGGCATGTTCCAATCCACGGGGCCTGTCAGCCCGTTATGTTTAGATTGAGCGTATGAAAGTTGCAGACACGTACATTCGGTATGAATGATTTTACAAACAAGGGTTTGTAACAGGCGGCGTTGGCGCGGTTGAACAGCAGTACGGTGTAACTAGTCGAACATTCAGCCGGTTGGTAATGTGATGAAAATGATTACTATTTATGCAGCGTTTGCAAGCATTATGCCAGCGTGTTACAATTCTGTTGCGTTAGCCTGAATTATTTATAGGCGGGATATTGCAGACGCGAATGCATTAGCAGTTGTTGCCAAGTGGCGAGAAGAAAAAGAGGCGCAAAACCCCCCGAGAGAGGTATGTCTCCGAAACGAACGCGATACACGGTACATAAAAGTCTGCGTAACGGGTGAAACAACCAGTTTTCAATAAATGGAGGCACGCGGTTCTTCTCTGAATATCGGGTTGCAGAAGGAAACCAAGATAGCGATGCTTTGTTCGCTGTGTCGAGAGAGAAATTGCGCAATGAAACAGGAGCCTGTATAGGAGACGCTCGAAAGAAACCATCTGCGTCCCGCTGGGCAGTCGGTGTAATCTTAAGCGATCATTGCCTTATTTAAACTTTTATGCAACGAGTTACTGTAGCCACCAATAATTCCTGTCACGTTCCCAAGCTCGTATGATCTGCACCGTGTGCATGTCAGTCTCGCGTAGATGTCTTAATCCGATGAACAGCAAGCGCGGAGAGTTCAAGGCAATTTGCAACGACACGTAGGCAGAAAAAGCGAACGTATTTATGCATCGGGAAATTCCTCGCGCGAGAGAAACCGTAGAGGAACGACAGATTATTGTCTAATTGCTTAACGCAGATTTAATTATTCAATAAACTTCAATATACGTACAAGAAAGATTATCCACACGCGGTATCAGAAAACACTTAACGATCTTACCTAAATAACAGACGATCGACGAAAAAAATTATAATCGAAATACAATTAATAAACTTCAAACGAAGGGTTCGCGGAAAAATATTGAAGTACCGTACTACGACGACCGTGTATCGACCAAATGCTTCGACGTCAGAAAGCAAACTTCGGAATCCGGTGGAGTCCGTGCCGGTGCGTTCAACTATGTTTTCTTAAAATCGCGTTTTTTTACCTGACTTGCCGAAAAATTGCCTAAAATAATTCTCACGGTCGACGCAATTGTGCCAAACACGGTAATGCTGCCGCTTCAAGGACCGGCAAGTGTCCTTGGTGTTTTACGAACACCATCCACCTTCTCTCGGCTATCTTTTTTTTTTTTCGCCTCCAACGGTGGCCACAAAAAGATCTTAAAAAAGTGTACGTAATTCAGCGAGCCAGAAAGGCAGTTACGGAATTGCGAGGAATTTCAAGGCTGCTCGTAAAAACCTCGGGAAAGAATAGTCGAGGTGCCGCGTTTCCTGCAATAGTGCGGCTTTTTACTCCACGGCGGTCGACAGACTTGGAAGGGGGAGGGGGCTCGAAGGTAGATGGGCTCGAGGTCTCTCAAGGGTTGTTAAAAACGGTCGCTTTGGCTAAAAAAAGCATTTAACGGGGTGACGAAGGAGGGTGTTTATGGCAGGAATACCCATAAAGGGTCACAGTCGACACAGACACGGGGGTGGCCGGTAAAAAGGCAAACCTGCAAGGTCGTTGCGCTTTGACTTCGTTCGAATCAGTCGTTTCACGATCCGCCCGATCTCGTAAACCTTCGAAATTTCAACGGCAATAGCCGAGCTTCTTGTTTCCGCGCGATACAACGATCCCCTGACGCTTCTGTTCACGTTTAAATCCAAACACTACATGATCGTCTGCGACATGTAAAATGTTATACGAAAAGTTTGATTTTAGGTAATACATAAAGTAGCTAAGAAATTTTTTATTTGGAAATAATTTGTATCATCATTTTTGTGATAAATCTCTGTGTTACATTATATAATGATTTCTATTAAAATTAGAAATTGAAATTTCTATTTATTTATTTAGTTTATTAAACGTAAACTTGCCTACATAGTAATGTTTTGTATAGGCAAAGTTTTGTTTCGATATTTAAGTAATAAGTACAAAGTAATCTAAAATTGAATAAGAATGTTTTATACCTATCAGTCAATATCTTTTATTTCAGTTTTTAATTGATAATAATGAAAAACATGAAATTGGACTAATCGTGGTTATTCTTACTAACGAAATTCGTAATCCGTCGGAATAGAGCCAAAACTATCTTTCAATTTTCATTTTGTCTATCTTTCTTTAATTTAATTAATTTTTTATGTTTAACTACTTGTAGTGTAAAAAGTACAGAGAAGACATTTTCGTTGAAATATATTGTTGCCTCAATCAAAATAAATCGTTTGACACGATAGCGTGTCCTCAACGAGCGCGATTACACTTTCTTAGTAAAAAGGGAGTAAAAAAATGTAAGCTGCCTGCAGAAAGTACGTTTTATGACGGGAAGGTCCATAAAGGGTCACGGGCTTTGGATAACAGGTAAAGTCTACGAGACCAATCCGTCGGAAGTGGTCATGTCGACCCGTCGGATCTGGCCCGTGACTGAAACTAAACGTTTATGCCTGCCACGACCTCGTAAACCCTACAATTGCCCATTTTAGGGTTTCTGCTTTTTTTCTCGAGCCTGTCATTGAAACCGAGTATTTTTTTCTTTTTATAGCCAAGGACAGCGGTTGACGACCAACAGAATTCGTGGGGTTATGCGGACAGAAGTTAGTTCGACTTCGACCTACGCGCCTCTAACACCATCGTTTCGTTTGCTCTGTCAAGAAGTCGCGTATGTACTATGATATTGTAAAAAGTGTTATTTAAAGATTTTGAATGTTTAAGTGTTGTTTGAGTTCGAAGTTACAACGTTGAGCGTGGTGCAAGGAATGTGGTGTTTTTCCGAGATAGAAAGATAAAAGTTGTTTTATGTGATAACATATTACTGATAATGACTCCTTTAATATATGATAATCGATGTCTACTTTGTATCTGTTGAACCGAGTCTTGCGCAGAAGAACAAAAATAAATGAATTACAAATTAGTAAAGAAAAATTTGTATAGATTTTTTTTTTAAGGATTAGTAGCAAAATGAAAAGTTGTGAAATAAAAGATGATGTTTCTCTAATATGAGAATATGCGAAAGAAAACATTGATTCCGTTGATTAGTGAAAGGTTATTCCCAATGAAACTATTTTCATTCATCCACTGTCTTAATGACTAGAAGAAGAACGTTTGAATTTTGTGGATGACAGCATAAAGATAAGGTGTCATTATCAGTGAACGAAACAACGAGCATTCGTTTCCGTAAAGCATTTCTTGGTCGTCGGAGATAGTTATGGCATTTTTTTGGATCACGGAGCAAAACCCACGAACGCGAAGTGTAAAATAACACTTGGAAGTAATGCTACGTCTGGAAATAAAGCTAAGTGAAAAGAAACAGGAAAATAATTCCACAATTCGTAACATGGTTTCATATATATATATATATAACTCATTTTCCGCGTTATATTTCATCCGAAGCGGTAGATTCCACAATTTTCTGCGAACAATAATTTCTCTTACGGTCAAGTGCCAAAAACTGCACGATGCACGACCCGTGACAAACGCGTTTGTACATAGCATAAGTATGGTAGGATCGTTGGCGTTGAGGCAGGTCAAGAACTCGTTGCCATATCAATATACTTAAGTGAAATGATACGAGGCAGTCGTAAAACCCGACAGTAATGACGCATTAGGGGGTTGCCAGGCCGATTTAGTTGGCTATCAAACAAAAGGCAACTTTTACTGAATCCAACCGAGGCGGAGGCGCGTGTTTTAAAAGGTTCGGCCGAAGGAGTGCGCGCCAGCCATTTATACCTCACGTTTTATGCGTTTTATAGGTGCGACGTGCGTCTCGTGTGCCAAACGGCGCATAAAAGTGCAACCAGATTGCTCGTTCACCTCGTTACCACGTTACGGATTATTCTTAAAATTTCACACCTTCAAACCAACTCGGAAACTATCCACCGGTGGATTCGCCATTAATTTTTCCACGCTGCGATACGCTTTTGCCTATTTGTTTCACTAGCACTGCAACAACAAATTATTGAGGTACTTCGCCTATAATCGATTTGGAAATGGATTACGCACAACTGTCTCCGCGTCATAATTATCAGTGATAGCAAAAGAATTAAATCAATTGAACAACTATGATGCCAACAATTTTAGAATTAGAAATAGACAATTTGTGATTCTAGTTATGAGAACGGATAATTACACTCGGCTGCATGTTTTTAAATGAATTTACACTTTATACATGCGGGAATGAAATTAATTCAGCGATGTAATATCATGGTGTAAAAATGCTAATAGAAAAGCAAAAGAAATGGCGACGCGTATAATAAGCAATGCAGAGTTTTTTCTTTTTTTTTTTTTTTTTTTTTTTTTAAGAAAATGGATAATGAATATTTAGCGCGACAACAGTAGATTATTAACAGCGTAAAGCGTGACCCAAATAACGTTTGAAATAGCATTTGAAATTGTAAATATAGTGGCGATATAACATCAGTATGTAAACGTCCTTCTCCTCTGGATCGAATAACGCTTTCAATGCGGACTCGCTTTCATAAACATATTACATTTATCATAAAACACCACGTGTATGATTAAGGAAAGAAAAAAAGAACTAACTCGTAAAGAAGCGTATCCTTAAAAATCTGATTAGACATTTTCTCATGAAGAACGCGAGTCAACGATTTTTATTACGTGTATACATGCATTTGGAATATCGAACAAGGTGAGAACTTCTTAGATTTATGCGCGTTGCTACACGCGCGAAAAGGAAAGACAGAAGGGAGAAAGTAGGAGTGAAGATTGATGGGATCAATATGCAGTAAGTCTGAACAATGCGTTTGGAGCTAATGGGGGAGACGCGCCGTGAAAAACTTGGATATTACCGCTAGCCCGGGATACTTTTCCATTCAAAATTTATTAACGATTATAACGTTGCAAAGCTAAATAGAAAATTAAAAAGTGTGCAGCTACGCGCGAACATTCAGTTTGTTTTAATTGTAATTATGAAACGCAGGAAAAATGAAAACTTATTGTCGACGCGGAATATAACATACACGCTCGAGTTAACGTAAATTTGAGAGAGGTTACAAGTCGTTTGAGTATCTCACGAACAATGAAAATTACGAGACAGGGGCGCAAAATTTTTTAATCTAATTTTTTACTTCGAATCTAAATAATAGAATGCAAAGTAATTGTACCCGCAAGTTTATTAATTTTAATTCGCGACACAAAATACAAACGAGCATAGAAGCTCGATTCTTATTATCAGGATGTAATTATTAGCAGGAAGCAATAAGGTTGATTTGATTCGATTTGAATAGAAACTCTAACATGAATTCGAAATGCATTGTTACGATGGAAAATATATACATAGATGCTGAGAAATGTAAATGATATATGTGAATGATTAATTGTTGCTATTGTATGTATCCTAAATGACAAGCGTCGAAATGAAAACTTTCACAAATTGTCATTTGCGCCAATAAGGTATTAAAAAAAGTTTCATGTGGTATGTAAAACCAACAAAACCGGAAACTTTAGATTGCGTAGTAAACGTTATACAAATAACGATCGTGCCATGACAATTCCACTGTATCGCTTATTAATTGTTTGAAATGCACATCAAATTAGTTGAGCTCGCAAACGATATGTCACGTATTCAATTTACAAACATGACAGTCGCGATGGAATAAATTAATGCTATTGCGATACTATCGTTCGCATAATAAATGCCGCGTTATCGAATGCATACATCCGAGATATTAGTTCAATATATATAGACGAAAGAGACGCAATTAATCGGCCAAGTTTTTCAGCTCGGGGGATGCGTTGCCGGATTAATGAATTTATAAAATATAGATGCCATATCGAAAACCGTATAACATCGAACGAAATTGATGGTCGAAACACCAATTACAAGATAGAAGCTATAAACCAATGTTTCCAATGTGAACGGTGAGCTCGAACGGAGAACGTTGTAAAAAAAAGAACGGTGTAAATAAAATCACCAGGGAAAGAAACGTTAAAGGGTAACTAATATTCTAGAATATAAGTTTCTATTACTTTCGTTACGAACGAGCCATACGAGGATAGAATACAAGGACACGAAATGGAGGGAAAAAGAAAAAAAACGTTTCTTTGCCAAAAAGGATATTGCAAAGTCAGAGAGCGAAAGATTAAACCATGCTTCGAATTCGAATCTATAAGTGTTTTGCTCCTCCGGGGATCGGGCGGCGGCACGTGTCAAAGGGTGGAAGAAGAAGAAATTCAGCGACCGGGCAATAATGCGCAAGCGTGAACTGCGATGGAATTACTAGGGCCGTGAATGCGGCCGAGCGAGACGGCGCCTATAGTCAAGATGGCTGCCCTACTCCCTCCATTGCGTCTCCCATCGCTATACCGGTTGGCGCGCCTGCCTCGAGGAGAACCAAGCCAGCTTACATCGCTAGCCAGAAACGGGTACATACAATCGCATACTATTTCGTCTACACTTACCCCAAATATTTTTAAACTTCTGCCGCACTTTTCTTCTTTTTCCTGACGCGACGCCCGCCACTGTGACTTTTTGTTAGTTTTGTTGACTCCCGATGTATATAGCCTCCCGAAATCTTCGTCATCCTTTCTCGTCGTAGTCGATTTTTCACGAAAAGATACGCACGAAAATGTCGTCGTGTGTTTACTAACGCTCACACAGCGCAGCGCTGCTTAACGCCTGGGGATAGAGAAATAGAATATAGAAGAGGGGAATGGCGGCAAAGGCGGGTGAAAGATACATGTAAGAGAGGAACTCTGAAATTTCCCGTCTCGTTCATGTCATAAAAATAATGCTTTTGTTTTTACGTCTGTGTTTTAAATTTCTCGCTACATTGTTTACTGTAACATTAAAATGTCCGTGTAAACTTTATTCGAGTGTCTAAAGAAAGTGGGCAGCGTTATCTTTCATTGCATCTAAATTCGAGAAAGAAACTGTATAATCATAGTTATATTGGACGAATGTATGACTTGAAATAGTTTTGAATGAGGACTATAACATAGAACCCAAAGTTATAATACGTAGTAGTATTGAAAAAGATAGAAGATATAATATCGTAATTATTATCACATGGAATTATTTGTAATAAAACGTTTAACTTTGAGAGAACGGAAGTAACTCTTTTTTCTTCGACCGATTGGAACGAGCCTCGTAATAGAGGCGCGCGTGTAAAACGAAACAATATCGATCGTTAAAGCCACCATAAAGCGATAGTTCTCTCGACTTTGAAACGCTCGCGGAAGATTTCCTAAATCGCATACGGCAGTAACCGAGATTCTTACCTGAGAGTCAAAGAGGCGGTCTGAGGATAGGCAAAACCAGGGATAGGTAGACGAAAAAGATCCCTGGAGGAAGAAGGATAAAGTGACGGAGGCTGCGACAGATGGACCGTGCGCGGAAGGTGGAAGGAGAATCCTAAGATGGCTGCCGTGTAAGCACGGCGTACGCGTCGCGTGCAACAACAACGTGGGTGAGCTAACGGGTGCCCGATGTGGAAGTGCAAGCCATAACTCGGTGATTTTTCTCGGGAGTGAATTCCATTCTTGTCAACGAGTTTCGTTGGAAACGATTTCGTAAAACGACAGAAACGTAGTTCAGCACACGGCCACGCCCTTGGCACGGGCAGCCATCTTGCATGTCAGCTGAGCGCGATGCACCACGGTAGTCAGTGTTGCAACCTTAGCAACTATCACGCGACTTACGCTGCGTATACGCCTTGCCAACATTGGCTGACGCTACTGTTCAGGTACATTTTATCATATTTTTACCTTTTTTCCGCCGTCATTAAGGCCGCTCATAATTCTAGATTGAAAATTATAACGATACTTAATAACTTTAGATACCCAAGTTAGATATTCTTTGTTCATGCATGATTCTTAGGGGATATTTTAGAACTATCTAGTTTCTTGTAAACAAAAACTTTATTTATATTAAATATCTTTTCTTTATGTTGTAACGTTATGATTTTCTACATTTAAAATGAAATTTTATTATTTTTTGTTGTTTAATCGTTTAAAAATTTTTATGTAATATAATATCAAAATACCAAAATTTTACATGATATAATACAAAGATACATAACAGATGGAAAAAGATAAATTCACATGACTGAAATATAGTAGTAGAAAAATTAAAAACACCAAAAGTTACGAATATATGTACATAAAATAATACTTCGAATGGTACAGCGCGGTTTTTTGGAACGGCTCTTTTTATGCGCCTTGCACTTTTGTCAGTTTCTTTTTTCCTCCATTTCTTTTACTCGTGCCGGTCTTGCTCTGGATATTGTGTTTCTCTTTCAACCGAGAACGGATATTGTGTTTCTCTTTCAACCGCACGCCCGTTAATATTTTGTAATGTAACGTTATCCCGTTGTTGATTATGCTGCACCGACCGTTGTCGCATTTGGAACAGTAGCAAAAACTATTTATGGATATTACATCTTCAATTTATTTTTCGACCGTAGTAAAAAGTAAATAAAGTATTCTTAAGCTATTTTTTTCGACTGTATTTTTAACCATTTCTTTATCCTTATGGCGCGGGACGACGTAGTTCACAAAAATAAATGCATTCGCGGCGCTTTTCTTTGAGCGAAAAAAGCAGAAACAAACAATCGCGGGTGTTAAGTAGGGTTACGTTTGTTGATTTATCCATTTATTTTCATCAGTGTATATAAGAGAATCCCGATATCATCGCGTTTTAGCAGACCACGAAACATATCCACTTACACTTCATTGCCTATCAAGTCGAGTACTTTAGCTTGAGTTTCATGTTGCTTCTCTCTGCGGAACTTATAAACGTGTTATATATCAGATAAATGTTTTCCTCTTGCGCAGCCACCGTCGTGTTTGCTCGCAAAAAGTAAGCCTAGTAAATATTCCCTGATCTTAGATAAACTCATCGGTAAAATTCTGATAAAGTTTGTACTGATTTTCGATAGTTTTAAATTCCTTAAACCAACACGTGTATTTCTTATTTATACAACTATACTTTATATTTGCATACATTGTTATGCAATATTAATTAAATTTGTAAACGAATACTATCACACGATACTGTCAGAAAAAGTTAGAATGGCTTTATTTAACCGTGAACTATCTCTTGCGATTAGATTGGCTATCAATCAATATATAAGGATAGTCAAAGAGTACAATCAAGGTAGCTTGTAAAAAAGCTGATTCCTAATCTTTCAGCAAAATAGAATTAGGTATATTTTAGATTGCAATGTAAATTGATAGAAAAACATAAAAGATAAAAATAATACCACAATGTATGATATTTGTTGTGGTAGAAATGAGAAGAAGGAATAAAAATAGAAGGAATAAAAGAAAGAGAAGAGCAAGATAGTATTAATGGGGGGATCATGTTTTTGCTGTTTTTCCACGTATCTTCTCTGTCTCTTTTCGGCTTAATTCACCGTAGTCTCCCAGCACTTTAGATCAAGCACATTCCTAAGGCTCTTCTTGGCCCCGATGAACCCACTTGATGAAAAGCTCACCAGCCCACGTCGCCATTCTTACGTACACCACGTACCCTGCACGACCCTGTCCAAGCCTACGCGCTGGATATCTAGGAGCATTGGTCTACCCGATAATCCACGACTTCTGTTTCGCGATCCTATCTCACCTCTATTGTTGCTATGATCGTACATACAGTTAACCGTAAAAGTCGTATATAATATTACAAAGTCTAAACCGGACAGTTCCACGATAAGCATCGTTGCTTCTTCGGAACCACCACACTTAGGAGTAGATGTTTTAAACTTCATGATATTTTTTATCAAGGATTTTATACTGTAGATACCTATAGTCTCGACGTTCGGTTCTTTCTACGATTAAGCAAGTTGGAACTTTTACTATCAACACAAGTTATACAAAGGATGTAACGTTTGAAATACTTTCGAAATTGAATTGCATTTCAAAGAAGTAAATGTGGCATCATATTTTTTGCCAGCATAATTTATTCGATAAAAATCTCGTACGTAAGCTTGAATCTATTGCATTCCAACTCCAAGATTATCTATCAAATTATAATTTTGATACGCGAATCGAGCATCGAAACTTTCTTTCTTCGCTAGACTCTAGTGGATAAAGCGAATGCTAATAACTCGTTAAATTAGTATGATAATTTGATGGTCTATTAAATGCAACACACGACGTAGTGTCACGTGATCGGTAAAGAGTAACTTTGTTCAGTTTAGCAAGAAACATGGGAGTATCGATCCAGAAGGTTCCCGCGCATTATCAAAAAGGTAATATTTTTCACCGGCTACACGTTATTCACACACGCACCGGAAGTTCGTTTATGTACGAACCTATCTGGCTAATCTAAAACGTTCAAGCGTCAGTCACTTCTTGTTAGCGCCTAAGGTTATCGTGTATAACGCCATTAATGTGCACATCACGCCGGTGCATTAAGTAGGTAGAGACTCGAGCAACGTAAAATAATTACAAGAACTCCATGTGAAGAATCGCGATGCTCTTTTCATCTGGTCGCGTTCTCGTTTCACTTTCGTACAACAAGCTGCCTCGGTAATTTTGAGTAATTGGACGACCAAGCTCGCCAGTAATGTCGAACAATAAGAAAACACCTGAAATTCCCCTTTGAACTGGTTTAATGGTCTGATAGGTTGGTATTAGGCTATTATTGGTAGACGTTTCAACACGGAAAGTGAAATTATTAGGCATCGGATCCTATTATAGGATTACTATTTAAGATAAGCTTCCCTCTTATTGTCCATTTGACAGGGATATTTCAGGATGAATGGCTTGTACAGGCAGCTTACAGTGGAAGCTTTATCTGTTATGAAATTTCTAGTGACCAGAGTAAAGAGAAGTCCTAATGTGGTCGATTTGCATGGCAGATTAGGGAAATTAGGTGGGCGTGCCACCTGGTGGTAGTTCTATCCAAACATTGCGGCACGCCTATTTACCTTTGCTTGGCTTACCTACCTGCTTGCACTTACTTAAGACCATCGAAGGAACGATTATACGATATCGCTTATTTGCCCTCACGATTCGGGTCAGAAGTGCTTTGACTAGATGTGCTTTCCTTGTAATAGGAGGTGTATTCTTACTGCAGAGATAGTAAGAAACGTTTTTCCACGTTGTTAGTGTTTCTGTTCACGTTATTTTTGCCGCAATGAATTTCGATCTGTCTCTAACCTCAAAAACCGTTTAAAACGCAGTAGTGTCTTGTAACGAAACTGATTGTAACACTCGAAATCTAACCAAAAAGTGAATGTTCTTCAAGCACGAGAGATTCCTTACTGATTAATATGAGGTAAGATTTTCATAACTTAGAAAAACTACTACTATCTATATACGATTAAAAAAAACCTATAATATATAAACGTACTGAAAGAACTCGCTACTTTGTATCGTTAATATTTTAACCGCATACAATTAAATAATACTAACAAGAAGTATGAAACATGGAAAAATTACAATGCATTAGAAATGTGTACTAATCAGGAGAAATATCAGTTTGATAACTTGAAAGCGCGACCACAGGGATACAGAAATGCGTAATAACGAAGCGTTTACAGAGCCATCCGCGGCGATTTCATTATCCCTACGGTTCAGCAATTTACGGACCATTACAGCAAAGTCCTACAGGCTATACTGGGCACGAGATAGCCACGTCGTACCATCCATTATTCATCACCCACTTCTCCGTACAGTCTCACCCGTTGACTTGCGCGCCCTCCACGCATTCTCCCCTTAAATCTTCCGTTGCGACACAGATTTTTTGCATTACCGTTTCTTTTAATTAGCTGCTGATGCCGCCATTGTTAAAACACTGATTTTTCTTTCTGACAATTTAAACGAGGTCGTATATATCTCGTGGCTTATCATTTCTTTCGATTCCATCGAGTATCGTGAACCTATGTACTGCCTTTGTATTGCACAACGAATATTTCATTCACAAGAAGAAGAATGTATGTAACAACTTTCTCGTTCTTTAACTGTAAATATATTACAATCGTTTCTTTTATTTATTTTTTTGTTCTGTAAGTTTTAATGCATTTTTCTCGCCTGATTCCGAAAGATTTATAGAGACAAAATAGGTGTACAAGCGAATTCAATTAAAGACTATAAAACGATGCAGAATTTTAGGTTATTTTCGACGAATTATTTTTAACTGGACGGAAACGATTTATTCCCTTCGCAGTCGTGTCAGGGGAAAGATCGTCTCTGACGTCTGCGAGTGGGGAATATCAAGTTTTTAGGAGTCTGCCCATTCTAAATTTTTCTAACCTAACTTGACCTTCATGGCGATGAAAGGAATGCCGAATCGAGAGAGCCTCACGAATATTTCGAGGGCAAATTGCTAGGGTAGCAGATATTTTTTTTTATAATCTTTAGAAACCTTTGAGTACCAAGTTTCTTTTTTTCATTATTAATGCATACCAATTTAAATTTAGAAGTTAAAAATACAGTTTAAAATTTTTAGATGTTTTAAAAGTATGCAGTTTTATAGCAATTTTTATAGTAACGTAGGTTAAACTTTTTGCAATACATTCTTGTATTATTAAATAGAAATAGAAACAAAATGATAACACATTTTGTGAAAAACAGTGGATAGAAATAAAAGAAACTCGTTTGATAATTGTAATTTCCAACTTACCCCAAATCATTATAGGCACGTTTATCTCGAGCTATT